AGTAGCTGGGACTACAGGCATGCGCCACCACGCCCGGCTCGTTTTTTCTATGTATATTTTTAATTGGCCAATTAATTTCTTTCTATGTTTAGTAGCGACGGGGTCTCGCTCTTGCTCAGGCTGGCCTCCACCTCCTGGCCTCGAGCGATCCTCCCGCCTCGGCCTCCCTAGTATGCTAGGATTGCAGTTTTCCTGTATGTTTTTAGGTGGCCAGTTGATTTCTTTTCTATTTTTTTAGTAGCGACGGGGTCTCGCTCTTGCTCAGGCCGGCCTCGACCTCCCGGCCTCCAGCGATCCTCCCGCCTCGGCCTCCCTCCCCGGGCGGCGGGTCTCTGAGCAGCCTGTGTCCCCCCCACCCCTGCAGGTGCGGGCGGGCGGCTTCGAGTTCTCGCCGGGCACGCTGCAGGTGTACTCGGACAGCCTGCTCACGCTGCCGGCCGCCGTGGGCATCGGCGGGGGCGGCGGCCTCCTGCTCCTGGTCATCGTCGCCGTCCTCATCGCGTACAAGCGCAAGTCGCGCGACGCCGACCGCACGCTCAAGCGGCTGCAGCTGCAGATGGACAACCTCGAGTCGCGGGTGGCCCTCGAGTGCAAGGAAGGTCGGTGCGGGTGCGGGGTGGCGGGGTGGCGGGGTGGCGGGGACCCAGGGTCCCCCCTGTCGCGGGCCGTGGCCTGGACAGTCGCCCCCCTCTCCGAAATTCCCCCCCCAAGCGCTCCCATTGGCTCCCCGGAGCACGCGAACTTCCGTGCCTCAGTTTCCCCATTTGTGCAATGGGCGCAATGGCGGCAGCGGGAACGCCGGGCCGGGCGGAAGGGGCGTGGCCTGGAAATCGCCACCTCCAAGAGTCCCCGCCCCCTAAGCGCTCCCATTGGCTGCCCAGAAAAATGGAGGCAGGGAGGCCGGGAAGGCTCCCATTGGCTGCACAGAAAACGGAGGCCGGAAACAGAGCGCGCGAACTTCCGTGCCTCAGTTTACCCATTTGTGCAATGGGCGCAATGGCGGCAGCGGGAACGCCTGGCAGGGCGGAGGGGGCGTGGCCTGGACAGTCGCCACCTCCGAGAGTCCCCGCCCCCCTGTGCGATCCCCCCTAAGCGCTCCCATTGGCTGCCCAGAAAACGGAGGCAGGGAGGCCGGGAACAGAGCGTGCCAACTTCCGTGCCTCGGTTTACCCGCCTGTAGAATGGGCGCAATGGCGCCAGCGGCCGGGCGGAGGGGGCGTGGCCTGGACAATTGCCACCTCTGAGAGTCCCCGCCCCCCTCTGCGACCCCCCACTAAGCGCTCCCATTGGCTGCCCAGAAAAACGGAGGCAGGGAGGCCCGGAACGCTCCCATTGGCTGCCCGGGAAACTGAGGCAGGGAGGCTGGGAACGCTCCCATTGGCTGCCCAGAGAACGGAGGCAGGGAGGCCGGGAACAGAGCGTGCCAACTTCCGTGCCTCAGTTTACCCATTTGCACAATGGGCGCAACGGCGGCAGCGGGAACGCCTGGCCGGGGGGAGGGGACGTGGCCTGGACAATTGCCACCTCCGAGAGTCCCCGCCCCCTTTCCCGCGCTCCCATGGGCTGCCCAGAACTTCCGTGCCTCAGTTTACCCGTCTGTAGAACGGGCGGCAGCGCCTCGCGGGCCTGGGCGGTTGCTCAGGTCCCTCCTGTCGTCCCTGTCGGGGGGGCGGGGGGACGCTCACATCTGCCGGCCTCGCCGGGGTGGCCTCTGTCCCCCACGATTTCTGCCTTGGGGACATCAAGGCCACCCTGGTTTGGGGACACGAGCGCGCGGACACGCGTGTGTCGCGATCGGGGGCAAAAAAAAAAAAAAATCGGCTGATAATTATGACACCGGCTTGGACGGGGACAGGGGACAGGGGACGGGGGACAGGGGGGAGTCCGGGGTCCCTGCTGGCGTGGCTGTCCCCTCCCCACCCACCCCCCAGGGCGGGGTCACCGTGTCCCCAAGCCTCTCTCCCGGGGAGGACGGGCCTCGATTTATTTTTGTGGCCTCCACGGCCGGGGGACGCGGTTGGTGGCAGCCACCAAGCCAGCCCCTTAAAGTCCCCAAGCAGGAGGGGACACACAGGCGCCCGGGGCGGGTGACAGCAGGTGGCACTCAGACAGAGAGACACACACACAGACTCCAGATAGAGGCCGGCTGCGGCTGGGAGGAGGAGGCCGCCCGCCCGGGGTGGGAGGGACGGGGTGACCGGACCCCAGGCCGGTGACAAACTGGGGCCACCGGGCTGCTGAGGACATGGCACAGGCAGGAGGCCCGAGAGCAGAGCCAAGCCGGCCTTTCTTTCTTTTTGGAGACAGAATCTCGCTCTGTCCAGCCTCGCTCACAGCGGCCTCCAACATTGAGGCTCGAGCGATCCTCCCGCCTCGGCCTCCCTCCCGAGGAGCTGGGACGACAGGCACGCGCCTCCACGCCCGGCTCGTTTTTTTAACATATATTTAGGTGTCCAGATAATTTTTATTTTTTTAGTAGAGACGGGGCCTCGCTCTTGCTCAGGCTGGTCTGAAACTCCTGGCCTCGTTGAGCGAGCCTCCCGCCTTGGCCTCCCTCCTGAGTAGCTGGGACGACAGGCGTGCGCCTCCACGCCCGGCCCATTTTCTTTTTTATACATTTTTAGTTGTCCAGCTCATTTCTTTCTATTTTTTTAGTAGAGACGGGGTCTCGCTCTTGCTCAGGCTGGCCTCGACCTCCTGACCTCTAGCACGATCCTCCCTCCTCGGCCTCCCAGAGAGCTGGGCTGACAGGCGTGAGCCTCCGCGCCCGGCCAGCCTTGGGCAGTCTTAAAAAAGCAGACGATCCTTCTGGGACTCGGATGTTCCTGAGTGTCCCCGTGGTGGGCGGGGCCCCAGTCCTGGGAGAACGGGAGGCAGGGAGGCCCGGGCCTCCGTTTTGGAGCCTCACCTCTTGCAGAGAGGATGGTGTGTTGGGACCGGTGGCTGCTCGGGGGACCGGGCAGGTGCAGGTACCAGAAGACAGGCCACCCCCTGGGAGTCTATGGGCGGGGCCGACACCTCCCAGTTCTGGAACGTTCTGCGTGCCTCTGTTTCCCAGGGAGAGAGGCCGAGCTGGGGGGGAGCAGGGCGGGCAGGTGGGGGGTTTAGGGACAGGCCGCGGGGTCGTTTTTGGATGTTTGGGGACAGTCCCCGGGTGGCCCTAGGACATTGCTGCCTGTCACCTCCCACACCTGGCCACACCTGGCCATACCTGGGCACACCTGGCCACACCTGGGCACACCTGGACACACCTTCCCAGGTGCCCGGGCCCCTAACGGGCCGGCCTCTGAGCCACCGCGTGTCCCTTTCCCGCGCCAGCCCAGCCCAGACACGGCTTCCCATCTCTGCGTCCAGATCGGGGAAACTGAGGCACACGGGGACAGTTCCCGAAGGTCCCCACGGCGGCAGGGAGCGGCAGCGCTCCTGTTCAATCTTGGGCTTTGAGAGCCAGAGGAGGAGGCCGGGAAGGGAGGCCTGGGGACAGGGACGGGGTTCGAGGCCCACCTGACCCCCCCCCGAACCCGGGTGTGGCCTCAGCCTTCGCGGAGCTGCAGACGGACATCCACGAGCTGACCAACGACCTGGACGGCGCGGGCATCCCCTTCCTCGACTACCGCACCTACGCCATGCGGGTGCTGTTCCCCGGGATCGAGGACCACCCCGTGCTCAAGGAGATGGAGGTAGCCACACGGGCCCCCCCGGGGTTTTGGGGGTGGCTGGCTCCCCAAGATCCCCCCCCGTTCGATCCTGCTGTCCGTGCCTGTCCCCACCCTGGTCACCCCTCGCCAGTGCCAAGCCCCGGGCACCACGGCCGAGAAAGGAAAAAAAAAAAAACGCATTGCACCTGGATCAAGCCGTGCCTGCACTCCTCCTCCCGCTTTTCCACGTCCTGGGGCCCCCGCCGCAGGGTTTCCCGGCCGGGGGCGGTGGGGGCCGCTGAGGCAGCCCCGGCGGGAGGGTGTCGCGGCGCGGAGGCCGACGGTGGAGGCCCGCAGGTGCAGGCGAACGTGGAGAAGTCGCTGGCGCTGTTCGGGCAGCTGCTGAGCAAGAAGCACTTCCTGCTGAGCTTCATCCGCACGCTGGAGGCGCAGCGCAGCTTCTCGATGCGCGACCGCGGCAACGTGGCCTCGCTGGTGATGACGGCGCTGCAGGGCGAGATGGAGTACG